CCACAGCTATTCTTGTACATGCTCTAGTTACCTCGCGCATTGATTATTGTAACTCTCTTCTCTTTGGGCTACCTTACAAACTCCTTCACAAACTTCAATTGGTCCAGAATTCAGTTGCCCATATAATTACTAGAACCTCCTCCATCGAGCATATCACTCCAGTTCTCTACCATCTTCACTGGCTTCCTGTTAAATATCGAGTAGAGTATAAGATTCTACTTCTCACTTTTAAAGCTCTTCATAATCTCGCACCACAATATCTCTCTGATTTGCTTCATATTTACATCCCGAAGCGTACTCGCAGATCTTCTTCATCCATTTCCCTTGTTGTACCTTCTATTCGTTTAGCCACTATGGGGTCTACGGCATTTAGTTGTGCTGCTCCTAATCTCTGGAATTCTCTCCCACAATCTATACGAGACAGTGACTGTCTGACTACTTTTAAATCATGTCTTAAAACTTACTTGTTTAAATTAGCTTTCTCTGATCAATTTTAAATTATTTTATGTTAATAGTTGTTGTTTGTTGTATTGTTGTCTTGATTTTATGATTATCACTCAATTGTACGGTGTCCTTGAGTGCTCTGAAAGGCGCCTTTAAATAAAATGTATTATTATTTATTATTATTAATTCACACACAGTACCTGAGAAAATTCAGATATTTTTCAGCATCTGCAATCCAGTCTTCCACTTGAGACAGCATAAGCTCTTTCTGCATCTCTAATGCAGCTATCTGCTCACAGACACATACACAAATACACAGTCAGACAGTAACATGCATGATTCATTACACTGTCTGTGAGATTTCTAGAAGATGTTTGCTGTGAAGGTGCAGCATTTACCTCATCTTGAAGAACGGTCTGACTGGCTTGTTCTGCCTGTCTGCAGAGTGTCTCCATTTCCACCCTCAAGTCAGCTATTTCCTGCTCCCAGGACAGCCTGTCACATACACAAGCACAAACCCCCCCCCAGATAAACACAGATACAGAGCATTGTAGGTATTTCTTCTGTTATGTTTTGAATTTTTTACTTCTCTTGACTCTGTTCCTCAATCAGCATCTTGAGTTTCTTTTCTGTGTCCTCCAGCTCCTGAGCCAGTCTAAAACATACACAAATCTTATTTAAATTCAGTGACCTATCCAGTATTATATATTACCATGCAAAAGCTTGGGGTCAGTATGAAATTAAGAAATTAATACCTTCAGCAAGGATGCATATAAAATGCATAAAAGTGATCAATAGTGACCAAAAGACATTTATAATGTTACAAAAAGTTATTAAAAAAAAAATGCTGTTCTTTTGAAGTTTATATTCATCAAAGAATCCTGAAATAAATGTATCAGTTTCCACAAAAATATTAAGTAGCACAAATGTTTTCAACAATGATAATAAGAAATGTTTCTTGAGCACCAAATCTGCATATTAAAATTATTTCTGAAGGATCATGAGAGACGCAACACTAGAGACGTAACGGTAAAATTCAGCTTTGCCATCACAGAAATAAATTACATTCTTAAAATATATTAAAATAGAAAATGGTTACATTGTAATAATAATATTACTGTTTTATAGTATTTTTGATCAAATAAATGCAATCTTGGTGAGAATGAAAGACTTCTTTTAAAAACATGAAAAAACAACAACTTTTGAACGGTGGTGTATATATTCTGCCCCAAGCAGACAGCTGAATTTGATAAATATTTTAATGCTAGTTTACCTTGTTTTCTCCTCTTCCATTCGCTCTTTCTCTGCAGTAAGCTCTTGCCGTTTTACCATGAAGTTTTTCCGTGTGGTCTTGCTGCTATTCAGCTCCAATTTAACTTGCAGAGACTCAATTTTTTCAATGAAACCCTATACAAATAATAAAAAAAACACTGCATTTCAACAATGAAAATGAGGTAATACCAGGTAAAACCAGACTAATACACTGAACTTACTAGAGAATGGTAATACTTTGTGCAAAGGAGAAAAGCACTGCTATTCAAATAACCATGTGTACAGTAAGTGTCAGAACCTCTACAGACTGTATATAATGACATTTTTATGTACAGATGTGATATTGAACCTGGTACTGATGATTTCTGTCATCTGTGGTCTTTTCCAGACTGCGGACATGGAGGCTGTGCTCCTCCTGCTCCGCTGCATGCTGTTTCATAAGAGCCTCATACTGCTCACTCAGCTCAATACTGCAGTCTTCTATAGCACGCTAAAGAAACAGAAAGAGAGAAAGAAATATATACATAAGGATCTGAAAGTCTGAGACTATTTGGAAAATCTTAAAATGTATTATTCCAGGAAATAAAGACAGCCGTTTCAGGGCTTAAAAAAAAAAAGTTGTGACAAAAAAAAAAGACGAAATATTTACTTAAATTATTGATTAAATGACCAAATTTGTGGCATTGTTTATTTAAACTTCATTGTACAAATAGATGTTCTTGCTTCCAGTGAAACAGTCTTTAGAACAGTCAATTCATGCAAATGTATTAATGTTTGCTGCACTAATATTATGTAATGAAAAGATCTGTATTTGAATACAATTAGAAAAATACAAAATAGAAGCATCTTCACAAGTGGTCACAGACATTTGAACCCCACTGTGCACAAATTCACATTTACCAAAACATCTGCAACCTATTATAAACACCACAAGTGCAAATAGTAAAACAAAAAAGGGTTCCAAGGACGATTTTTTTTTTCCAAATTCTAAGTTAAAAAACAGGTTTACAAATCTCTCGAAAGAACAATAACAAGGTTGTTCTGTTCAGCAGAGCAAGGCTGAAGTCACACACACACAAACAAATACTGGTTACATTGTCACACAAACCCATAACAAATTTCACGTTTTGCCCAATTTATGAGCATTTCAAGGACAACTTCAAATGTCCTCACAAGTAACTTTTTATCATGTTTCACTATATTTGTGAGGATATTTTCACAAACATGGTGCTCACTAGTGTAGCTTGTACACAGACACAGGTTTCCCTGTTGTATGGGAACCAACTTTATGATCATCACCTGTGGGGACCACTCTTTCTGAAGGTTTTAGAGGTCTGAAAATAATGGATAATAACCATTGCTTTGTTAGCCTATACATGACTTCTGATATCAGAACTGATGAAGAAATGACTTGAACATGCTAAATGGGGACTTCTAAAAAAAAAACTGAGATAACATACCTGATAGGGACCTTATTTGCATATTATTTGCATAATACACACACTTCCCCATTTGATTTGTGGGGACCTTGCAACATTTATATTACTAATGACAAAAGCATTTATACCAAGTAAATCAGATTGCATTTGTCCATTTACATTTAAAAAAGATGTCTACAATTAAGTAGAATTAAAAGATACAGTAGTAGTACAAAACATCGGTTCAAATTATGAAATGTAGCTAAGATTAGTTGTTCATATGCAGTTGTTGAGATGTAATGAGTCCTGCAAGACTCACTCCTGCATAGAACACCTAGTGTTGTGTATGTGGTCATTGTCACAACATGCAGATTTTTTGGTCTGATTGATTCCTAGGTTTCATAGGAATAGCAGTGTTATTGAAGTGTACAGATAAAGCAGAGAAAAACGTTCTCTATTCACATATGAAGGATTGAAATTGTAGTGAATTACTGCCTGGTTATCAAACCATCAAATGAAACCTTTAAACCTTTATTTTTATTTAATTGATTTAATGATACAATGATTTAAGTGTATATTCATAGCCAACCATCAGCTACTAGCTCCTGATACTTCTTACCATGATAATAAATAGGGATGCACGATATTGGATTTTTGCTGATATCCGACATGCCGATATTTTTCAACCAATTTTTTTCCGATGGTGCTGATATATTCGCTTTTGTTTGGAAACAACACCAAGTCTCTCATGTGCAGAGATTATAAACAAATTATTTTTAATTTTGGTTAGTTTTTAACAAAACAAAGCGTTGTAAAACTTCTGGAAATCTTTTAGAGCTCCTTGTATTTAAGTTTCATAATCCATTTGAAAAAAAAAAAAACATTACACATTAATGAATAAATCTGTATATATATAAAATTATTTAATTTACAAGTGTCATGTTTGTGATTTTTTTTATTCATGTAAGCTATAGCTTCTGACCT